CAGTAGGAGGAAATGACAAATCATTTATTGCTCTCCTGTAAAATGGCATGGGAAATGTGGACAATCTGTTACCAATGGTGGGCACTTTTTGACAGCTATTCATGATGGGAGGCAAACACTTTACAAACACGTGAACCCGACAGTCTCGCACCGAAAAGACAGTGGAGGGAATAATTGGAGTACACCATGGTTTGCACTTTGCAGTGTAAGGCTGGGCATGGTACGGTACGAAATCGTACCACACTCAAATGGTGATAATGAAAAAAAGTTATTATTTTTATATCAATTGATGATTTTTTGGTAATGATTATTAATCATTTTTAATGATAATAGAATTTACTTTATCAATATCATACCATATTATCATTTTTAAACTTATTTTTTTCATTATCAATTAATTTAAGTCATTTAAAATTTAATCTTAAAAATTCAAAATTATCTTAAAAACTTTTTTTTTTCGTACTATTCTTCATTATTTTGAAGCATACAAATATATAATTATATAAAATATGCACACATAAAAAAAAAAAAATCAGCAACAATTGAAAACTTTGTAAAATAAAAAAAAAAGGAAAAAGTTTTGAATGAGTGGTAAATTTGGTAACCATATGGTAAAAATGGTAATGATCTCTAATACCAATACCGTACCACAAGTTTAAATGGTATTATTATATTACTATTTAGACTTACCATATGATAATTTATCATACTATTTCCATTAGTAATAGGACAGTACAATGATAATTGTGACATTTATGGTATAATGCCCAACCCTATTGCAGTGGCATGGACCAATTTTTGCTTAGGATTTTAACTTTCCTTGTAAGTTTATAATTAAACTTTTAAAATATTTTAAGTGTTTAAATTAAAATTATTATGCAATCAAGTTTTTTCTCTAAAAAAATAATGATATGTTTAAAATATAAATTTCAAAAGTTTTTTAGTTATTAAAATATAATATGAGTGAAAATGAGTGAAATCTAATATTTAAAATCTATCACAATTATGATGAATTATAGTAATAATTTTCATAATAAAAAACCTATACTTTATATGTGACCATCTTTTTAGAGATGATTTATTTTATTATTATTGAACATGTAGTCATTTATGACCAATACTTAAAATATGTCACAATTGTGATACATTATATTGATAAATTTTTTTATTACAAGTCTATATTTTTTTGTGATCATGTGACAATGATGAAATATCTTATAGAAATTTTTTTATTATCATTGAACGTGTGTGGATTTGTAATTAATTTTTTAAATCTATCACAATTATAATGAAATTTTCAAAATTTATCACAAAATTTTGTCACTAAAAATCTTTTTTTCTTGTAGTGAAATAATTCCAAAATGGGTTTATCTAACTTGTACATTAAGGTGCCTTTATTATACCTTTTCATCATAAATTTATCTTAAAAAAATAAAAGTTAACATTTAATTTATTAATTATCTAATTAAATTCAAATAACATTAAAATTAATACCAATTTTTATATTTTTCTATATTCATTTATAATAAAAAGACACAATAAATGGACTCTTGTATTAAAGTGTTAGACTTGGGCTAAATAATTCTATTATTGGCCTTTAAACATTTTATTATTATAATAATTATTATTATATAAA